TTGGTGGTAATAGGTGTCTTCCTCTACTCGTATTCGGCTGTCAATTTTTTTCTACACTTTTAGGTGTATTTTGTGCAAGAAATTGCAATAAAATCGTCTGCCTAAGAAAGATTGAATTTTTTTGGGAACTTTTTTATGAATTTGGATTTCTGGGTCGGATGACTTTTTGGTGGTAATAGGTGTCTTCCTCTACTCGTATTCGGCTGTCAATTTTTTTCTACACTTTTAGGTGTATTTTGTGCAAGAAATTGCAATAAAATCGTCTGCCTAAGAAAGATTGAATTTTTTTGGGAACTTTTTTATGAATTTGGATTTCTGGGTCGGATGACTTTTTGGTGGTAATAGGTGTCTTCCTCTACTCGTATTTGGCTGTCAATTTTTTTCTACACTTTTAGGTGTATTTTGTGCAAGAAATTGCAATAAAATCGTCTGCCTAAGAAAGATTGAATTTTTTTGGGAACTTTTTTATGAATTTGGATTTCTGGGTCGGATGACTTTTTGGTGGTAATAGGTGTCTTCCTCTACTCGTATTCGGCTGTCAATTTTTTTCTACACTTTTAGGTGTATTTTGTGCAAGAAATTGCAATAAAATCGTCTGCCTAAGAAAGATTGAATTTTTTTGGGAACTTTTTTATGAATTTGGATTTCTGGGTCGGATGACTTTTTGGTGGTAATAGGTGTCTTCCTCTACTCGTATTCGGCTGTCAATTTTTTTCTACACTTTTAGGTGTATTTTGTGCAAGAAATTGCAATAAAATCGTCTGCCTAAGAAAGATTGAATTTTTTTGGGAACTTTTTTATGAATTTGGATTTCTGGGTCGGATGACTTTTTGGTGGTAATAGGTGTCTTCCTCTACTCGTATTCGGCTGTCAATTTTTTTCTACACTTTTAGGTGTATTTTGTGCAAGAAATTGCAATAAAATCGTCTGCCTAAGAAAGATTGAATTTTTTTGGGAACTTTTTTATGAATTTGGATTTCTGGGTCGGATGACTTTTTGGTGGTAATAGGTGTCTTCCTCTACTCGTATTCGGCTGTCAATTTTTTTCTACACTTTTAGGTGTATTTTGTGCAAGAAATTGCAATAAAATCGTCTGCCTAAGAAAGATTGAATTTTTTTGGGAACTTTTTTATGAATTTGGATTTCTGGGTCGGATGACTTTTTGGTGGTAATAGGTGTCTTCCTCTACTCGTATTCGGCTGTCAATTTTTTTCTACACTTTTAGGTGTATTTTGTGCAAGAAATTGCAATAAAATCGTCTGCCTAAGAAAGATTGAATTTTTTTGGGAACTTTTTTATGAATTTGGATTTCTGGGTCGGATGACTTTTTGGTGGTAATAGGTGTCTTCCTCTACTCGTATTTGGCTGTCAATTTTTTTCTACACTTTTAGGTGTATTTTGTGCAAGAAATTGCAATAAAATCGTCTGCCTAAGAAAGATTGAATTTTTTTGGAAACTTTTTTATGAATTTGGATTTCTGGGTCGGATGACTTTTTGGTGGTAATAGGTGTCTTCCTCTACTCGTATTCGGCTGTCAATTTTTTTCTACACTTTTAGGTGTATTTTGTGCAAGAAATTGCAATAAAATCGTCTGCCTAAGAAAGATTGAATTTTTTTGGGAACTTTTTTATGAATTTGGATTTCTGGGTCGGATGACTTTTTGGTGGTAATAGGTGTCTTCCTCTACTCGTATTTGGCTGTCAATTTTTTTCTACACTTTTAGGTGTATTTTGTGCAAGAAATTGCAATAAAATCGTCTGCCTAAGAAAGATTGAATTTTTTTGGGAACTTTTTTATGAATTTGGATTTCTGGGTCGGATGACTTTTTGGTGGTAATAGGTGTCTTCCTCTACTCGTATTCGGCTGTCAATTTTTTTCTACACTTTTAGGTGTATTTTGTGCAAGAAATTGCAATAAAATCGTCTGCCTAAGAAAGATTGAATTTTTTTGGGAACTTTTTTATGAATTTGGATTTCTGGGTCGGATGACTTTTTGGTGGTAATAGGTGTCTTCCTCTACTCGTATTCGGCTGTCAATTTTTTTCTACACTTTTAGGTGTATTTTGTGCAAGAAATTGCAATAAAATCGTCTGCCTAAGAAAGATTGAATTTTTTTGGGAACTTTTTTATGAATTTGGATTTCTGGGTCGGATGACTTTTTGGTGGTAATAGGTGTCTTCCTCTACTCGTATTTGGCTGTCAATTTTTTTCTACACTTTTAGGTGTATTTTGTGCAAGAAATTGCAATAAAATCGTCTGCCTAAGAAAGATTGAATTTTTTTGGAAACTTTTTTATGAATTTGGATTTCTGGGTCGGATGACTTTTTGGTGGTAATAGGTGTCTTCCTCTACTCGTATTCGGCTGTCAATTTTTTTCTACACTTTTAGGTGTATTTTGTGCAAGAAATTGCAATAAAATCGTCTGCCTAAGAAAGATTGAATTTTTTTGGGAACTTTTTTATGAATTTGGATTTCTGGGTCGGATGACTTTTTGGTGGTAATAGGTGTCTTCCTCTACTCGTATTCGGCTGTCAATTTTTTTCTACACTTTTAGGTGTATTTTGTGCAAGAAATTGCAATAAAATCGTCTGCCTAAGAAAGATTGAATTTTTTTGGGAACTTTTTTATGAATTTGGATTTCTGGGTCGGATGACTTTTTGGTGGTAATAGGTGTCTTCCTCTACTTGTATTTGGCTGTCAATTTTTTTCTACACTTTTAGGTGTATTTTGTGCAAGAAATTGCAATAAAATCGTCTGCCTAAGAAAGATTGAATTTTTTTGGGAACTTTTTTATGAATTTGGATTTCTGGGTCGGATGACTTTTTGGTGGTAATAGGTGTCTTCCTCTACTCGTATTCGGCTGTCAATTTTTTTCTACACTTTTAGGTGTATTTTGTGCAAGAAATTGCAATAAAATAGTCTGCCTAAGAAAGATTGAATTTTTTTGGGAACTTTTTTATGAATTTGGATTTCTGGGTCGGATGACTTTTTGGTGGTAATAGGTGTCTTCCTCTACTCGTATTCGGCTGTCAATTTTTTTCTACACTTTTAGGTGTATTTTGTGCAAGAAATTGCAATAAAATCGTCTGCCTAAGAAAGATTGAATTTTTTTGGGAACTTTTTTATGAATTTGGATTTCTGGGTCGGATGACTTTTTGGTGGTAATAGGTGTCTTCCTCTACTCGTATTTGGCTGTCAATTTTTTTCTACACTTTTAGGTGTATTTTGTGCAAGAAATTGCAATAAAATCGTCTGCCTAAGAAAGATTGAATTTTTTTGGGAACTTTTTTATGAATTTGGATTTCTGGGTCGGATGACTTTTTGGTGGTAATAGGTGTCTTCCTCTACTCGTATTTGGCTGTCAATTTTTTTCTACACTTTTAGGTGTATTTTGTGCAAGAAATTGCAATAAAATAGTCTGCCTAAGAAAGATTGAATTTTTTTGGGAACTTTTTTATGAATTTGGATTTCTGGGTCGGATGACTTTTTGGTGGTAATAGGTGTCTTCCTCTACTCGTATTCGGCTGTCAATTTTTTTCTACACTTTTAGGTGTATTTTGTGCAAGAAATTGCAATAAAATCGTCTGCCTAAGAAAGATTGAATTTTTTTGGGAACTTTTTTATGAATTTGGATTTCTGGGTCGGATGACTTTTTGGTGGTAATAGGTGTCTTCCTCTACTCGTATTTGGCTGTCAATTTTTTTCCACACTTTTAGGTGTATTTTGTGCAAGAAATTGCAATAAAATAGTCTGCCTAAGAAAGATTGAATTTTTTTGGAAACTTTTTTATGAATTTGGATTTTTGGGTCGGATGACTTTTTGGTGGTAATAGGTGTCTTCCTCTACTCGTATTCGGCTGTCAAT